ACTATCATAAATATTGTTATAACAATTCTAATAGTAATAACAATAATAATAATTAGTATAATAATAATAATAATAAAACTACAATAATAATAACAATAATAATAAACATAACGATTCGTAATAAGCTAATGCAATGTATATATATACACTGTATAAATATATATGTTATAGATAAATATACATATATATATATGTATAAATATATATTAATATTATTTCTTTCTTAATACTTTATTATTTTTAATGTTATGTTATTATTATTATTCTTTGATTGTTGATATTGTTTTATTATTAATATTATTTTATTATTAATAATCTTAATATTATTAATATTAATAGCACTAACAATTTATTCAGCTGTCTCCGCTTGTATTCCTAGTATGCAGCTGCTGCAGCAGCAGCAGCTGCTGCTACTCTTACTGCTGCTGCAGCTGCAGCTGCTGCTACTACTGCTGCTGCTACTGCTGCTACTGCTGCTACTGCTGCTGCTGCTGCTAATGCTACTCTTACTGCTGCTGCTGCTGCAGTAATAACAGCGCATGCATTGTTGCTGTGGAGGTTTACAGTTAAAATAAACAATTGAAGTTGTGTCGGTAAGGATATAAAAAGAATAATTATTTTATTTCGCGAGATAATAATTAATTAAATAAATGCTGCCTAGACACTGTAATAATCTTGAATGAACAACAAATGCAAGAAAGTAAAAATTAAAATTATTTAAAAATATATCAGACAAATATTCCCTAAACCCTAAACCCTAAACCCTAAACCCCAAACCCTAAACCCTAAACCCTAAACCCTAAACCCTAAACCACAAACCCTAAGCCCTAAACCCTAAACCCTAAATAACGTTGCATAAGAAACTGTGGATATGCATGAAAGAACTAAATTGAATTTATTTTTAGATTAATTATTAAAGAGAATAAACAAAAAAAGTAAAATAAATAGAGTTGCATATACAGCCGAACATCAAACGGTTTGCTGCAGCAGCCTGAGTTTATTATTGCATGAAAAAGACAAGATAAACAAAAATAATAGATTTATATTTTAATTAATTAATTATTTATTTATAAATATTTAAATTAAATACTTATTTTAAACTTTTAGCTTCTTATTCTCTTCTTTACTCCTGGGGCCCCCCACCAACCGAGCAGCAGCAACACCTATAGAGATCTGCTACTGCTGCAGCAGCAGCAGCAGCAGCAGCAAATGTTGCTGCAGCGTCCTGCAATGTCTAAACAACCCTTATTAGCCTTCTCTGCTTTTTATATTTTATTAAGAGAAATAAAAACAAGCAAAACAAATAAACAAAAACAAATCACTAGCAAACCCCTCTACGCTGCAGCAGGGGCCCCTGGGGGCCCCCCAGCAGCAGCAAATCAATGAACAGCAGCAGCAGCAGCAGCAGCAGCAGCAGCAGCAACTGCGGCAGCAACTGCAGCAGCAACTGCAGCAGCAACTGCAGCAGCAACAGCAGCAGCAGCAGGCACACATACAAATAGTAGAGAATAACAACAGGGCCTGAGAGGCTTCGCACTCCTTCTGCGCTCTGCGCAGATCTAAGGGTTTAGGGTTTAGGGTTTAGGGTTTAGGGTTTAGGGTTTAGGGTGATGGGGTCTTTCCCTGGGCAAGACACGCAGCAGGCAAACCCTCACCCATGGAATATCGTGCTGCAGCAGAGACCTCACAGCAGCGCAGCAGCAGCAGCAGCAGCAGCAGCAGCTGCAGCAGCTGCTGCTGCTGCTGATGCTGGGTTTCCGCTGCAGCAGCAACAGGGCTTCTGCCTGCTGCAGCAGCAGCAGCGCGAACAGCAGCAACAGCAGCAGCAGCAATTTCAGCAGAGAGAGAAACAGCTGCTGCATCTCCACTCTGCTGCTGTCAGTTTGTATGATAGCTGCACCAACGTCCTCTCTTATCAGCAGCAGCAGCAGCAGCAGCAGCAACAGCAGCAGCAGCAGCTACAGCGGAACACCGCAGCATGTTTTTCTGGCTGCTACAACGTGCATGCAGCGCATGCTGCTGCAGCAGATAGCCATATGAGCAACACTGCAGCAGCAGCAGCAGCAACACCAGCAGCAGCAGCAACAGCAGCAGCAGCAGCAGCAGCACGGCCACCAGCAGCTGCAGCAGCAGTTTGCTTCTCCCTCCAAAGTAATGGCACCCCTGGGTATGAGAGAGAGACAGTGTACAGAGATATGCAGCAGCAGCAGCACCTGCAGCAGCAGCACCTGCAGCAGCAGCAGCTGCAGCAACAGCAGCTGCAGCAACAGCAGCTGCAGCAGCAGCAGCAGCTACAACAGCAGCAGCTGCAACAGCAGCAGCAGCAGCAACAACAGCAACAGCTGCAACAACAGCAGCTGCTACAACAACAGCAGCAGCAGCAGCTGCTACTGCAACAACAGCAGCAGCAGCAGTTGCTACTGCAACAGCAGCAGCAGCAGCAGTTGCTGCAGCAGCAGCTGCACCAGCAGCAGTTGCACCACCAGCAACTGCAACAACAGCAACTGCAGCAGCAGCTGCTGCATCAGCAGCAGCTGCAGCAGCAGCATCAGCAGCAGCAGAAGCAGCAGCAGCAGCAGCAACAGAAGCAGCAGCAGCAGCAGCAGCAGCAAGAGGAGCAGCTGCTGCAGGAAGGATTCCCTGTGGGGGCTCTGCTGCAGTCGTGTCGGTTGTGGTGGGGCTGTCCAAGCCCTGCAGCAGCAGCAGATAGCAGCAACAGCAGCAGCAGCAGCAGCAGCAGCAATAAGAACAACAGGCAGACCCGCCAAATACGCAGGCGTTGGGGATGCAGCAGCAACACCAGCAGCAGCAGCAGCAGCAGCAGCAACCGCACTTCAGCAAGGGGCCTCCATGTGAAAGGCCCCGTTTCATCTGCTGCTGCTGCTGCTGCTGCTGCTGCTGGTGGTGCTTCTGGTGCTGCAGCAAAGAAGGACAGCAGCAGGGTACCTTGTGATTCAACTGCTGCGAGTGCTGCTGCTGCTTCACCAGCAACAGCAACAACAACAGCAGCAGCAGCAACAACAGCCGCCGCAACAACAACAGCAGCAGCACCAGCAACAGCAACAGCAGCAGCAGCAGCAACAGCAGCAGCAGCAACAGCAGCAGAAGGAAGAGTATCTGTTTGGGAGTTAATAGAACGGTGGGCTGGTGAGAGCGATGATGAAGAATTTGTTTTTAAGCGGAAGGAGACGCCTAAGGAGACAGTTGAAGCAGCTTCTTGCTGCAGCACGACTCGCAGCAGCAGACACAGGAGACGGGCCCAGCAGCAGCAGCAGCAGCAGCAGCAGGTGCTGCAGCAGCAAGGGGGAGAGAAGGAAGATGTGGAGAGCCCTTTTGAGTCTCTCTGCAGCAGTGAAGAGACAGCAGCAGCAGAAAGCAGCTGCTGCAGCAGCAGCTGCAGCACCAGCAGCAGCTGCAGTAGCTGCAGCAGCAGCTGCAGCAGCTGCTGCAGCAGCAGCAGCTCTAGTGAAGACACCGAAATTGAGGTTGACAGCAGCAGCAATTGCTGCTGCTGTTCGAAACCCCCCGCTAAAGGACGAGAATACAGCTGCAGCAGCAGCAGCTGCAACAGCAGCAGCTGCAGCAGAAGCAGGTGGAGGGGACGTAGGGGTCGCAGCAGCAGCAGCAGCAACAGCAGCAGCAGCAGGCTGAGGCCTTTTGGAGAGAAGTATGTGGGGTCAAGTGCAGCAGCAGAAGCAGCAGCAAATGCTCTCCGCCCACCATTTATCTTAGAGCATGTGCAGCATTTGCTGCCTCACCTGCAGCTGCAGCTGCAGCAGCAGCAGCAGCACCAAGGCCCAGCAGCAGCAGCAGCAGCTGCTACTGCTGCTGCTGCTGCTGACCCACCTGGAGTAAACGGATTCACGCAGCAGCAGCTGCGACGGCTGAAGCTGCAGCTTGATGTTTATTTGCAGCTGCTGCTTCAGGCTATCTTCCTAACAAGGGCCCCAGCAGCAGCAGCAGCAGCAGCAGCAGCAGCAGGTGGCAGCAGCAGCAGCAGCAGCAGCAGCAGCGGAGCAGAGCCGCCAGAGGTGGAGAGACACCACAAGCTGTTGGGGCTTCTAGATTCTCTAGTCCTTGCAAGACTGAAGCATGTTAGCTTCATTTTGCTGCTGCTGCTGCTGCTGCTGCTGCTCTTGCTGCTGCTGTTGTTGCTGCTCTTGCTGCTGCTCTTGCTGTTGTTGCTGCTGCTATTGCTGCTGCTGCCAGTGTTTGTTTTGCTTTAGCTGATGCTGGCTGTTTTTTGCTGCTGCAGATATTGCTGTTGCTGCCGCTGTTGCTGCGATTTCCATTGCTGCTGCTGCTGCTGCTGCTTCTGAACTTGTTGTGTTTGCTGCTGCTGCTGCTGCTGCTGCTGCTGCTGCTGCAGGTGAATACTCTGCGAGTTAAAGAGGGTTTGCTTCCGCTGGATATTACAGAGCCTCTTCCTTCTGCAGCAGCAGCCCTCATCAGCAGCAGCAGCAGCAGCAGCAGCAGCAGCAGCAGCAGCAGCAGCGGGCTTGTTCCTTTTGCTGCTTGCCGCTATAAAACTGCTGCTGTCTTTGCTGGAGAGACGCCCCGCTGCTGCTCTCTCGATGTCCCTCTGCTTCGGAAAATTAAACATTTTTTGCTGCTGCTGATTGAGTAAGGCCTCAAGTTAGTTAAAACAAAATATAAATAATATATTATTATATTATTAATATAATATAACATTATACTATAATATAGTATATATTATATATATTATATATATTATATATATAATATA